ATAGTGTCCAGCCACTTGTTGCCAAGTATACATATAACATGAAGGTTTGTGGAGAAGGGGATAGGTTTTTACTAACAGGGTTCCCAATTTGAGGGGTCTGGGAGCATTTCTGTTCTGAGCCGACTGGGCCAAACTCTCCTGCGAAACACAGAAAACTAGGCACCCCCAGAAAGATTAAAGTCTATCCATTTCCAGGAGTTCCTCATAATTGCTTGTTTGTAGCCCAAGATTGTTACTCGAATGGGTCTGCCTCTCTCCAGCTCCAGGCCCTCTCTCTGGGGCCAGAGTCATTGCCTCTCAGTCTCTCAGCAGCTCTCTCTTCTGTGTGCTGTTCTTAGTCTCTGTCTGCTGCTCTCAAGGTGAGAGTGGAAGCAGTCCAGAACCTATGTGCCATGCTGCACAGTGCTGTAGTGGCGTCCCAAGGGTTGGCACCCAGTGAGGCACACATGTGAAACCCTGCCTCCAGAGCTGGCTTCCAACCATGTGAGGCCTAAAACCCGAGTGGTCCCAGCATCTGCCACTCCCACCTGTGAGGGTCTGAAGCAGAGCAGCTTCTGCCTGCCTTTGGTTTAAAAGTCCTCTCTCATAATCCCACGTACGCTAGAAGCCAGTGTGAGTATCCACCTTTTCAACCAATGAGGGCCAGCATCAGCGATGTTTACCTTTGCTCTTTTTCCGAGGCCATGTTGTATAAGAGGACAAAGCCTTAAACCATGCATGCTCTGTACAAGCTCCCTTCTGCTGAGTCAAGAGCTGCTTGTCTGTCTCTGGCACTAGCTCTTCTCTGGTGGCCCCTCCTTTCAGAGCTGAGGGGTAGGGTGGGAGGGCAAGCCACTTTTTAATCTTCAGTTCTTTCTTGAGGTTTTTCTCCCTGTCCCCTGCCTTCTGAGGGAAGATTTGGCCTAACCCCTGTGACAAAGCCAAGTGAAGACAGTGGGAGAGGAGTGGTGCATTCTGAGGTGATCAACAATCTCTGCTATATTTGGTTATGATTTCAACAGCCTGAGGGTGGTGTACATACTACACTGTGGAAGAAGGTGGGCATACAGACTTGAACAGATTATGAAAACACAAGAGGGGGTTTAATTAAGAGTCTAGTTTGAATCAGGGGAGTGACATAATCACAAACAACTGTGGAGTAGTGCAGCATTTAGAAGCATATACACCATGGAGCATGGTAGGTGTGGTGGTAAAGAAATGATTAACTTTTTGCTGATACTCTGTATTATTGCTTCAGTAACTTTATTATAAAAGTAATAATGTATTACTACAAAATAAACTTTTATAATAAACTATTAAATAAATTAGAAATATGAGACTGGAAAATAATTGAAAAATACACTTTAACATCTCAGGAAAGAGATAATTAGGGTTAGGATGAGGGAGGTGGACTAAAGTCAGACACTTCAGATTTTCAGAAACTGGTGATCTACCAAGAAATGGTTAAGAGACAGACAGGAGTACTGCCTTCAAAAGTGCCTAGTAAGTCTCAACATCTTGATTTTGTAGGGGCTAAGAAAGGATGGAGTTCATTTCTAACATTCAGAAGTATACAAATCAGTTGCATAAATGACTTAATTCTTGATGCTTTTTTATCTGACAGTAAAACCTGGAGGTATCAAATGATTAAATGTATCATAAAAATAACTGAGGGGACAGCCTCTTTAAAGAAAATGTCTGGAGGTTGCTAAATACTCCTTTATGGCAGTTTTCTGACATGAACTAGACACTGGTTTTGCTATTTGGGGACACTTTATAACATTTATGTCCATGAATAGCAAACTAAAGTATCCTGCCCGCATATTCTCATTAGGTTTACCTGCATATAGAGCCTACGACTATTCAAAGTACAAAGGTGACAAATATAGGTGTACACTTTGCAACCAGGTACTGTCAACTGTTGCTAAATAGGCAGTGAAATAGACTGAGGTATGCTAGAATTAGCTTTCTTGAATGTTTTAACTTCAAGTATACTATCTCCCTTACATGCAACACATACCATTTTTTAAGGCTCGTCAGACTAAGAAATAATTATCTGCAGAGAAGTGACTTAGTAAGACTATTCAAATACTGATTCCTACAGAAACTCAATTTTAATGTTCAGATCAAGCCAAGCCTTAAAAAAGTTATTTACTAGGATTCCAATACTATGTTAGTTTTAACAGCTTGCTTTTACTGAGTTGCATTTCAACATATTATTGGGCGTACTGTACTTGATGAAACTGGCCATTTAACTTCTAGGAGTAATATGGATTATCCCTTCACAAAATCCTCATTATTTAAGTACCTTGGGGGCCCTGACTGGTGTGGCTCAATGGATTGAGTGTCAGCCTGTGAACTAAAGGGTCACCACTTCCATTCCCAGTCAGGGCACGTGCCAGGGTTGTAGTACAGGTTCCCTGTAGCAGGCACACTAGAGGCAATCACACATTGCTGTTTCTCTCCCTTTCTCTCTCCCCCCTTTCTCTCTCAAAATAAACAAACTTAAAAAAAAAAGTACCTTTGGAGAAATGTCTGGCAGGACCAAGTACCGAAACAGCGGTAAATTTTTGGATTATCTTACCTGGTAGAAAACTTATTCATGTAAATACTTTCCAAAGAAAAGGAAGTTCAGTGTTGACCTTGCTGCCTAATTACAATAGTTATTCAGGCTATAGTAGTACGCATTGTTTTAAATAAATCTCTGGATTTTATCTTCTCTCCTGATTTTCCATTCAACCATAATACCTTTCATATCACTGCATGTTTTAATAAACTGTTATTTATTTCTGAATGAGACATAAAACAAAATATCAAACCTTGGGCTCATGGGAGAAATATCAAATGATTTGCTTTAAGTTAAAAAGGCCATTGCTGTTCCGGCCAAGATGGAGGCGTAGGTGGATACACTTTGCCTCCTAGCACAAAAGGACAGTAATTTAAAAACCAAAAATGACCAGAACTGCCAGAAAATCAAACTGTATGGAAGTTCAACAACTGAGGAGTTAAAGAAACATTCACTCACATCAGCAGAGAAGGGCAGTGAGGGCACAGAGGACACAGCTGCGGTAAGGTGGTAGGCTAGTGCATTGGGAGGTTAACTTGTGTGTGGATAAACTGGGAAGAATAGCTGGGGAGTGAGACAGACCATGCAATCTGGGGTTCCAGTGTGGGAGAGGAGTCTCAAAACCTCTGGCTGTAAAAACCTATGGGGGTTGAATCAGTGGGAAAAACTCCCAGCCTCACAGAAGACGTCACTGGAGGGGCCTATCACGTACACAAGCCTATCCACCTGGGAATAAGCACCAGAAGGGCCTGATTTGAGTGTGGGTAGCTGGGGAAGTAACTGAAAGCGGCCCAGAGCCAAGAAAGCGTCATTGTTTCCTCTAAGACCCCTCCCCTCTATACAGGATTGCAACCCAGCAACCTGGATTGCCATGCCCTGGAGAATACCTAAGGCTCTGCCCCTTCCAATGTAACAGGCACACTGAGACAAATAAATGTGGCCCAAATGAAAGAATAAATCAAAGCTCCAAAATAGAACTAAGCGATGAAAAGATAGCCAACCTATTAGATGCAGTCCAAAAAACTGGTAACCAGAAATGGTTGAGTATGGTTGCAAAATGGAGGAAAAAGGGAAGGCTACGCAAAGTGAAATAAAAAAAAAAAAAAAATGCACAGGGAACCAACAGTAAAGGAAACAGGAACTCAAATCAACGGAGCAGAAGGAAGAGAAAAACATTCAACCAGAACAGAATGAAGAAACAAGAATTCAAAAAAAAAAAAAAAAAAAAATGAGGGGAGACTGAGGAACCTCCAGGACTTTAAATGTTTTAACATCCGAATCATAGGGGTGCCAGAAGGACAATAGGAATAACAAGAAATTTAAAACTTGGCACATCATAATTTCATTACCCAAGATTAAAGATAAGGAGAGAATCTTAAAAGCAGCAAGAGAAAGGGAGACAGTTACAAAAGAGTTCCCATTAAGACTATCAGCTGAATTCTCAAAGAAATCTTGCAGGCAAGAGGTATTCAAAGTCATTAAAGACAAGAACCTACACTCAAAGCTATCATTTAGAATGGAAGTGCAGATAGAGTACTTCCCAGATAAGGTCAGGTTAAAAGAGTTCATCATCACTAAGACCTTATTATATGAAATGTTAAAGGGACTTACCTAAGAAAAGATAAAAAACTATGAACAGTAAAGTAACAACAAACTCATAACTATCAACAATTGAATCTAAAAAACAAACTCAGCAAACAATAGAACAGGAAGAGATTCACAGAAATGGAGATCAGAGGGGATGGGGAGAATGGGGGAAAAGGTACAAGGAATAAGCAGCATAATTGGTAGGTATAAAATAGATGGGGAGGTTAAGAATAGTATAGGGAATGAAGAAGCTGAAGAACTTAATACGTATGGGGAGGTTAAGAATAGTATAGGGAATGAAGAAGCTGAAGAACTTAATACGTATGGCCCATGGACATGAACTAAGGGGGGGGCATGCTGGTGGGAAGGGGGGGTGCAGGGCGGAGGGGAATAAAGGGGAGAAAAAAATGGGAAAACTGTAATAGTATAATCAATTATTTATATATATGCCATTGCTATAAAGAGACAAAAATGATAAAACTAAAAGGAGAATGCAAAGGCAATGTACTTAGCACATTTTCTGTATACTACTGAATTCACTCATATCTCCTTTTAAAAGTCTTTCCTAAAGCAATAAATTACAAACCTCATGAACTATTTAATGAATTCTAAATGTCATCTTGATTTAATGAAAAATGTCAAGAACTATTTTTATCTAAGTAAATTAATATATCTCATATAAATTCCAAAGAAAATTTTAGTTTAAAAACAAATAAAACCCAAACCTTTTCTTACTGCTAGAATTACCATCTTAAAATATCCAGAATTAAAATAATAACCTATTTCTAGAGGTTATGTAAAAGTATTTGTGTAAGTATTCTTGTGTAAGAAAAACCACTGGCAAACAAAACTAGGGCCAAACACATAATTTTTGGTATGAATTTGAAATTATTTTATTGCTTTGTCCTGAAAATTTAATGTATACTTAAAACCTTATAATACAAAGACATGTAAATCCACTGAGCCTCTGCATAAACATTTTCCGATTTTATTCTTGATATATCTTCAAATTATCCACATAAAACTGCTTATGAATAATGTTAAGCCATGCTGATAATTTTAAAATAGGCACAAAACATTAAAAACAAAGAATCTTCCTCTTTTCCAGGAGAAATGTTTTATGACAAGTTATAGTGTTTAAACATCTCTGATGTCAATTCTGGGTGAACCAGGATGGTCGCTTCTTTTCTTGTTCAATGATCCTCTTGCCCCGATCTTGTTCAGATGGTGTCTCTCCCATGTACAGCACAATGGTCTCTACAGTAGAAGCCTTAAAAGGGCCCCCTTCTTCTTTCCCCATCTGTCTCCTGATTTCTGCAGTTTCCTTGCATACCTTCTCATAGCAATAGCCACAAAGGACATGTTTCTGTTTCAGGTGACCACATTCAGGACAAACATCTATGTTGTTCTATGAAAAAACAGACACGTTGTAAGAGGCAAAATAATGAACAAATAATTATAAACAGGAGTGATGTTTGTACTTCAGTATTCTTAAGAGTATTCATGATGCACAAGAGGTCATATACCATCTAGTCCAACATCACTTTGTTTATTGTTGTTTATGTACAGTTGCCTCCCCGCCGCCCCCATGTACCCCCACCTTGCACCCTCGGTCCTATCCCCCTTTCACTTTGTCCATGGATCCTTTATGCATGTTCCTTGATACCCCCCCCCTTCTTTCTCACATTATCCCTCTCTGCCTTCCCTTCTCGTTACTGTCAGTTTGTCTTTTATTTCAATGTCTCTGGTTCTATTTTCCTAGCTTGTTTGTTTTGTTGATTATGTTTCACTTTTGGTGAGATCATATGGTATTTGTCTTTCATACCTAGCTTATTTCACTTAGCATAATGCTTTCCAGGTCCATTCATGCTGTAGCAAAGGGTAGGAACTCCTTCATTCTTTCTGCTGCATAGTATTCTGTTGTGTAAATGTACCATAGTGTTTTCATCTACTCATTTACTAACTGGCACTTTGGTTGCTTCTAACACTTGGCTATTGTAAATTGTGCTGCTATAAACATTGGGGTGCATAGGTTTTTTTGAACTGGTGTTTCAGGATTCTGATGGTATAACCCTGGCAGTGGAACTGCTGGGTCAGAAGGCAGTTCCATATTTAGATTTCTGAGGAAATTCCATACTGTTTTCCACAGTGTCTGGACCAGTCTGCCTTCCCACCAAGAATGTACTAGGGTTCCCTTTTCTCTACAACCTCGCCAGCACTTGCTGTTAGTTGATTTGTTGATGGCCATTCTGACCGGTATGAAGTGCCAACCTCATTTTAATAGGAAAACGGGATAAACAATACTGAGTTTGAGTTAGTAGAAAAACTGGGACTGGAACACAGGTCCATTGACATGAACTACATTGCAGTCATATTATGTAAAATGGTAGTCTATTTCCCCATCTTCCAATACTAAGTATATAATTAAAAAAAGAATTTTCCTTTCAATCTATCTTGAGAAAAACAAGATAAACACATTACAAGCTGGCTTCCCCTGATTCATCAGTGAAACTCAAATTCTTGTATGAAATATAGTTGGTAGATGGTGTATTTTTAAAAATAAATTAATTCTGATTATTTCTTAATGTAAAACTTACCTGCTATAACTTAAATGTATCTTAGTTTTTATACTGTCTATTCAACTTGAATGAGACAATTACAACTTTAAAGAAGACTTTTTGATGTGCTTAAAAGTAAGTTTTAAATGTAAAATAGGAGGGACATGAGCAGAATGGCAGCATGAGAACTACTAGGTCTCTCCCCTTGAAGTTTCAACAAACTAGACAGCAATAATGCAATAGAGGATGAGCACATCTGAGAGATCTACACATTGAAATATCTGAAGGTAGGTGTGTATCAGGGAACAAGGGGCAGAGGGAAGAAGGCAGGTCAGACACAGGTACCAAAGATTCAGCCCAGAGTTCACTGTGGCTCCAGTTACTCAGTGGCAGAGGTAAGTGTTGTGTTACAGCACAGATACTCTGAGCTCTACGGAACAGAGGGGTAAAATAACACTCCTCCCGAGTAACCAGCATACACTATCGCTACACCTTGTAAAAGGAACAGAGACAAAACACAAAAGTGTTTAAGCTGTGGTCCACCAGTGGCTATTACCAGGCAGAAAGCAAAACCAGACACTTAGCTGCCTCCCCTCATCCTCCCAGAGCTTATAGTGGCAGCAGCAGATGCTGTAGCAGTGGAGGTGTCAGGTTACAGTGAACACTCTCTGCAACCCCGAGGACTAGAGGGACAGAAAGATCTCTCCAAAGGGCAGGAGCATAATGTGGCTTAACCCAGTGATGGGGCAGAGATATAGCAGCTAAGGTCTGGGAGCCACCATTACTAGGAGGACATCATGGCCATGATGCAAGAACTGATTACTCCCCACCCACCCAACCACCACCCATTGTAGTGGAGCCTGGTGGGAGTCCTGGGAAACCTCAGACAGTACAACACTGCTAGAAGCATCTGGTTGCAAGAGGCAAGCACTGAGATGTCACAGGCCCAGAGAACTGCTGCTCATCATAATTCCCCATGGGGATAGTGCCTAGACTAAGGAATGCCCACCTCCCCAAATATAGGTCATATTCCACAGGGAAGGCAACACTGCCCCCAAGGGGATCCCAGAAGCCCCAGCAGCCTCTGTCACTGGGTTGAATTGCAGTGTGTGCTTGCTGCTTAGGGAGAGCAACTTCTACCCTTCCAGTCCTCAGGGCTGTGAGGAGTGTGCTGGCATCAACATCTCCACTGCTACAGAAGTCGGCTGGGGGCCAATGTGAAGTCTGGGAGGATGAGGGGAGGCAGCTATGCCACTGTTGCTTATGTTTCAGCAACACCTACTTAAAAAAAAAAAAAAGACCTCTACTTATCAATAGTGAGTACTAAATAGTGAGCAGTCAAACATTTTTTTAAAAAGCAGACTTAATTCTCACAATCACCTAGGCATAGAAATAATCAAATACAATGAATAACCAAGGTTAAAAGGTGGCTTAAAAAGAAAGTTAAAAACTCCAGAACCCCCCCCCCCAAAAAAAACCCTCCTGAAATGACAGAGAATGAAAGATGGAAGTTCAAAACAAACAAAAAACCCCAACCCAACAATACATGAAAACTCAGAAAGAGAGTTTAATGAACTCAGAAATATAATCAATGAACAAAAGGAGTAACGTCTCAAAGAGATTCAAAGTATAAAAACATAGCCAAACAGAAATTCTGGAGATGAAAAATAAACCAGAAAGCCAAGGAATATAGGTGACCAGGTACAGGAAACAATTAGTGATGTTAAAGATAAAAATCTAGAAATCAGGTGGAAAAGAGAGATTTGAGAGTAAAAATGAAAGTGAGCCCTGGTCAGTGTGGCTCAGCTGGTTGGAGTGTTGTTCTGTAACCTAAAATGCCATGGTTCAATTCCTAGTCAGGACACATGCCTAGATTGCAGTTCTGTTCCAGGTTGGGGCCAATGTGAGAGAAAATGGATGGATGTTTACCTCACCTCAGTGTTTCTGTCTCCACCTTCCTTCCCTTCTCTCTGAAACCAGTGGGCATCTCTTTGGATGCAGCTAAAATAAACTAATTAAAACAACAACAACAACAACAAAAAACTCTATGAGCACTGGAAATCCAAGATGGTGGCAGGATAAAAGTTACCTCACCTCCTCCCAATACCAAACTGCAATTACAACTAAATAAGAGAACAATCATCCTGAATAAACAAATGAGTAGCTAGAGAGGTCTTATAACCAAGGATTTACAGAAGAAGCCACATCAAGACTGGCAGGAAGAGCGGAGACACAAAAAGGGCTGGTGTGCACCCACAGGTGGTGGGGGAGGCTGAAGCTCAGGAGACATATCTCAGCTGCGAGGGGTTTACCCTTGAGGAGTGGGGGGATCTAGCAAGGCTCCCCAGCCCAGAGCACCAGATCTAGGAAGATGTGCTCACACAATATCTGGCTGACAAAAGCAGCAGAATTTCTGTCTGCCAAGGAGAAGCAGGAGTCTGTCAGAGACACAGGCACCCTCTTAAAAGGCAAATGGACAAAATTTTATTTGCAGTCACTCACCCTGTGCTCTGGTGGAGGGAGGGCAGAGCGAACTAGTGTTGCATGAGGCAAGTCTGGGGTCTGTGGCTCTGTGGCTCTGGGGAGGGAACTCAAGGGACAGCTGCCAGGGTCCCTGTGCTGAGCTATCCTCCCAAACTGCAGACACAATCTTTCTTGGGTAGACCACCCCACACCAACAGAATCAGCCTCAAGGAAAACAATGACCCCACCCTCTGGACTGTCTGCTGCACACCGTGGACCTTACATGCTACTGAGGGATACAACCAGAGACTCTTATATAACTGAGCTTAACAGGAAGCCAGCAGGTGAAGGTAGGCAGAAACGGACCTTGTTGGGGTACCTTGACACTTTTGCTGACCAGCACCCAGGCCTGGTGTGGATAAAAGCCAGCCTTGGTGCATGGCTTGGTCCTTCCTGTGCGCACCCAGGCCCAGTATAGGCACAAACTGTAGCTTGCTTGTAGCTCCAAACAGGTTGCTGAGGGTCAGTCTCAGGCAGCACCTAACACTGTACTGCGCCATAGTCTCTCCAGAGGCCCAGAGCAAACACACAACACACCCAATGGCAAGCTTCAGAAAACAGCAGAGCAAGATCCAAGAAGCTTCACGAGCACATATCCAGAGATCTTAGCAGGCAAAAAACCGTGCTGAGGCAAATTCTGATTCGTGTGGTAAGCATAGGCACCACAACTCACATACCATGGTCAGGAGTGAGCAACATAGTTGGCCAGACTAAGATTGGATCATCTAAATGAATGTGCCAATAGCAATCAAGACACAGGTACGGCAGGAGAGACCACATAACTCACACAAGGGACATTCCTAGAGCACCTAGCACAGGTAATTAAGGATCCCTAGGTCTCACAGGACATCTATTATATAAGGCCACCCCAACAAAAATGGGAGTCATAGCAGATCTAATACATAGAAACAAACACAAAGAGGCAACAAAAATGGGAAGAAAATGAAGTATGTCCTAAATGATAGAAGGGAAAAAACAAACAAAAAAAACAACGAACAGCTAAATGCAATGGAGGGAAGCTAATTATCATCTACAGGCTTCAAAGTCATGGTTACAGTATGCTCAACAACATAAAAAAGAACATGAAAACCATAAAAAAAGAACATGAAAACCATAAAAAAGGAACAATCCGAAATAAAGAATACAATATCTGAATAAAAATACAGTGGAAATAAACAGTAGGTTTAACAAAGAAAACAGTGGAATCAGCAATTTGGAAGACAAGGTAGAAAAAAACACCCAGTCAGAGCAGCAAAAAGAAAAAAAAAATTTAAAAAGTGGATGATTTAAGGGAACTATGAAACAACATGAAACATAACAGTGTCTG